CTCAGTATATCACAAGATCCATGATCCCTACACTCCCCCTCCCGAGACCAAGTCCATCAATCAACCACACTGACTCCCATCTCAACTCCCTCCCCAACACTTAGTGGCAAACTTGACACAAGACCTACAACTTCCCCCGAGTCAAATGGCTACGCGATCGGCCGTCGTCCCACTCTGCAATCAGAGCCATTCGCACTGTTTTACTACAACACCCACCACGCTTAAACATGGCAAAAGTATGCACGCGCGACCGTGTCCAGCTCTTTCGCAGCGTCCTCTTTAAAAATAAATAAATACTTACTGCCGCAGAGGGGCTTTGTGAGCGGGTCGGCGCGGTTTCTATCTGTCGGCACATAGCATAAACTCTGAACATAGTCCCTAACGAAGTGATATCGTAAGTCAATGTGCTTCGACCGCTTGGTTACTACAGTACTCTTCGCAAGCGCTAAGGCGCTCTGACTGTCTGTAAATACAGCCGGCAACTTCTCACCCTTGGTTTCTAAGAACCAAAAGTATAAAATGCTTCCACTGGTGCTCCTTAAGCTAACTGAACAACCAGCAAAGTCGGAGTCTGAGAATGCTACAGCATCATCCAGGTTCTTTTTGTTAGATGCCAGAGCCTTGCTGTAAATTTTCTTGAAATTTTCTTCTATTTCTGGAGAATACTCAAGACCAACCTCTTTCGTCCCCTTCAGGTACTGAAGGACCCTCTTCCCACGCTCTACTGTTGCGTTCGTCGCTGTCGTCATCTCGCGCGCTACTACCTGCACTGCGTAGACAATGTCTGGGCGACACATAGAAGCAATGTGCTGGATGCTACCTACAAGGCTTCGAATTGGAAACGTTTCATTCTTAGGACTGTCCTCACCATCACGCTTTTGAACAATTGGTGACTTAACAGCGCGACAATCTTTCATGCGAAACTTTTCGAGTGCTCGCTCGATAGCTTCAGACATGTGAATGCGCATGTAGCGTCTTTTACCACAATACTCTAGAGTAGCCCCGAGAAGATCCCGGATTTCGATGTCGTCCTTCATCTTAGGGGGGATTACCTT